TTGTCCTTTTGATTCTGTTCACTTCATTCTGTATCATTTCATATAACTCTTCCCAAGTTTCTTTAAAATCAACTCTTTCATCACGTCCAGTACATTCCCATACCATGATTTGTTCAGCTGTCCCCCAACTGATGCTCACTACTTTGGTTTTCAGTTCTTTGCTACAGCAAAAAGAGCAACTATGGATATTTTGCAGTTATAGATCCTTTTCCTCTTTTTTGATATCTTTGACATTTATACTTAGTAGTGGTATCAAGGAGTCAGAAGTTAAGCAGAATTTAGTGACTTTTGGGATATAATTCCAAATAACTATTTATTTTTTGTTTTGTTTTGTTTTTAAGCAATTGGGGTTAAGTGACTTGCCCAGGGTCACACAGTTAGTAAGTGTCAAGTGCTTGGTCTGAGGCCGGATTTGAACTCAGGTCCTCCTGACTCCAAGTCCGGAGCTCTATCCACTGCGCCACCTAGCTGCCCCTACCAAATCACTGTTTAGAATGGATGTACCAATCCACAGCTCCAACAACAATGCCTTCATATGCCTGTCCTCCCACAACCCCTTATACTCACAAGCTTTACCCCTTCTTACCAAATGCTATTTATGCAAAAGACTATCATGAATAGCAATTTCTATCTGAGCAAAACAGCAAACAGAAACTGGGGACATTCTACAGATTATAGTGTATCAAAGATACACAAGAAATGAGATCTTTATCTATGACTAAGATAAATTCTTGACTCAAAGGAGGAGAGCAAACAATCTTACCAGGGGAGGTCTATTGATTACAGTCTCTAGAGTTGGAAGCCCTAAAGGCCAAGGAACATGGGGCTAAATCTGACACATATCTGCTGCTCTGAGGGTCACAATCCAACATTCAAAAGACTCTGCTTCTGTCTATCTCAATTGTCTTCCAGGAGCTCTTCAACAAATATGTCTCTTATGCAGGTATGCAACATCACCTCAGCAGTCTCCCAGTTAGACAGGAGTCACATCTCCCTCAGCATATGTAGTATGAAGCACAGCTTTATGTAAAACCACCCTAGGTTTGGGTGAAAATAGGATTATACTTCGTTGTTCGTAGCTTGATTTTCATCTTTTGAAAATTGCCTGTTTATATACTTTCACCATTTATCTATTAGGGAATGTTTTTTGTTCTTATATATTTGAATGCTCTTTGTATTACTTAGCCATCAGACCTTTACTAGAGAAATTTGCTACAAAGATTTTTCTCATTTAAATGTATTCCCTCTGATTTTACACTGCACTGATTTTGAGCAAAAACTTTTCAATTTTATATAATTAAAATTATTAATTTTATCTTTTTTGATATTTTACCCTATCTATAGTTGTAAAAGGCATATTCTTTTATTCTCCTCTAATTTGCTTGATTGAAACCAGAGTCATGTTTCCATTCGAAGCATATGATATAAGTATGTGATGTGGGATGTTCTAAATTTAATTTCTTCCTGGTACTTTTCCAGTTTTCCCACAAGTTTTTGTTGAGTAGTGAGTCCTTGCTCCAGTATTGGTATATTTGGAATTATAGAATACTACATTTCTATGCTTGATTATTTCTGGGTCACATATTCTTAATTTGCCCCACTGATCAATTTTTCTACTTTTTAACCAGCACTGTACTGCTGGCCTCCTTCCTTTCCACCTTTTTTTTCATTATTTCCCTTAAGATTCTTGATCTTTTGTTCCTCAAGGTTTAATTTTGTTGTTGTTTTTCCTTCTGCTATAAAGTAACCCTTTGGTACTTTGATTATGACATTGAATAAGTAAATTTATTTAGTATTATCATTTTTATGATATTAATACAGCCCAGCCATGAGAAATTTATCTCTCTTTACTGAAGTATGCCTTTTTTCTGGAACAAAATTCCTATGTATCATGTATCTCTTGACATGTGGGCTCGACAATATTTTACAAATTTTGTAACTATTTTGAATGTAATTTCCTATTGGAATTTGTTGGCAATACACAGAAAAGCCAATGATGTGTGTAGGATTGTGGTACTTTGCTAAAGTTGTTTCATTAATTTTTTGTTGCATCCCCAGTGTTCTCTAAGTAAACTATCATATTGCTTGCAGAAAAAGCAAAAATGTTGCTATTTGTTTTTTTTTTTTTTTGCCTATGCTTATTCCCTCAATTACATTTTCTTGTCTTGGTGGGTTTTGTTTAACTTTGGTGGTTTTCCACTCCACTCAGGGCCTCTCATCGATGAGATGTTTCTTATCCCAAGCCATCCTGGCCTAGGTAGATCAAACAAGTTTTCCAAGGGGCATGTGTCCCTGCCCTAACACATTCTGGGAATATGGCAGATCTCTGAAAAGATTCTTTAGAAATATATAAAAGTAAATGGACCAAAAATAAAAGGTTAGTGTCAGATAACTGATAAACTGTTAGTGATATTTTAGATGCTGAAATACAAATATTTACAAAGTATTTTAACTTTTTATTGTTTAAAGTTAAGTTCAGGGGGCAGCTAGGTGGCGCAGTGGATAGAGGCCTGGCCCTGGATTCAGGAGGACCTGAGTTCAAATGTGGCCTCAGACACATAACACTTACTAGCTGTGTGACCCTGGGCAAGTCAGTTAACCCCATTGCCTAACCAAAAAAAAGAAAATAATAAAGTTAAGTTCAGAAAAGTTTATCACTAAATTGGAAACAAAATGTTTACTTTTTTAGCCATGAGTACTCTCAAAGACCTTATGACTAAATAAATCATAAAGGATTCGTGATCTTTATACAAAGAGAATGTACCCATATCGAAGTTTCGGTCGTTGAAGATTTCCAAAAAAATTTAAGTTTAAATGTTTTTCTTAAATTCTTTTAGCCATATTAAACATTTACAATTTTACAGTTTGGTTTGGTGGATGGACTACTGAGCTTGGAGTCAGAAGTTATACCTCAAAAGGTTATTAGCTATCTCACCCTTAGCAAGTTACCTAACCTCTGTGTATCTCAGTAATCTCCCTAGGCCTTAGGCCTTATTTACTGTGTCATAGATGTGCTGTTCTGTATCAGTGGACAGAGTTCCCACATAGGTAGTTTCCTACACTGATGAAATCACAGAACCTTCACTTATTCATGTAAAAAAAAAAACCAAACCCTTAAAATAGTGTGTTGTTATAACTAAATATGATGCAATGGATACTAGTGCTCCAATTCTCCAGTGGAATTGTGATCTCATTGATTTGAATCACTCCCCCCCCATTATCCCAATCACAAGTCATTTATACCCACTCATTTCATGCAACACTTGTCCATGTCCTCCCATAAATTTACTATGAGGTCCAAGCAAATGCAAGGGGCCTTTCTCTTGTTCTCCTAAGATTAAAAAAAAAAAAGATGCTAATGGAGCATGCAGGCTGCTCATAAATTATTCCTCATTCTCACCATATGACCAGCCCATTTTATGGACTGATTCAATGTTCCTTTATCCTTTACACCATTTCTTCTCATAAACTTTATTTATAATGTATTGAAGTCTATTTGTGCCCAACATGCACTTCTGCATTGCCCTTTGGATGATCCTCCGCTTCAGTCCTCCAGATACTGAGGTTTTTCTTGACTCACAGACATACAACATAACCAGAAGAATATGACATTAAAAGATGGACTTTTGTTTCAGGGAGAAGCTTGGATCATTAAAAAAACTTTACCTAAAGGGAATCTAATCCACTCCCTTCCTCTGGTACTGAATATAACTAATTTGTAAAATTTTACAGAGAATGGTGATAGAAAATCACAAGCAGTATTGCCTCACAAAACAGTGAAAAGCAGTGAAAGGAAAAAGAACTTTTACAGAAACATGACAGGAGACTAAACAAGGTGAAGTCATTACATGTGCCTTTAAGGAGGAAACTGGTACAACAGCAAACAGAAGAAAAATGGAAAAGATATGCTAAGAATTTATGACAAATTCTTCTCACCATCAAAACCAGTAAGTTGTAACAGTTGAATTCTAACATCATTGTCCCAGATGTTTAATTGGAAGAGGTGAAAATAATGCAGAAGAAAGAAAAGATGGGAAAGCAGTTGGACTAGGGCAGATAAACAAAGATGAGGTCTGGATACAACATAGTTGTGAGAATATTGAAGCATTGTTTATTTATCAAGTAAATGGAGAGGAATATACAAAAAAAATTTTAAACCCTCCATATTTTATTATTTATAAACATCATCAACTTTTTTATCTATATAAAAATTTTACCAGTGCGATCTCCACATGCATCAGGACATTCTTGATGAGGCTATTAGAAGGGAACAGGCAAAAGGTACCAGAAAGGAAAAAAAAAATCTCCTGGGCGTTGTTTAAAAAATTCAAATTCTTCATCCTTGAAAAAAATTCTAATTGTTTATTTTCCTGTTTTATTATTTCTATTGCATTTCTATTCTGATAGTAAATATGTTTGATAGTAAATATATTATACTTTATTATGACTAATGGAAGCAGCTTGGTAAAGTGGATAGAGAGCTGTCCTTACAGAAAGGAAGACTGGGGTTCAAGTCTTGCCTGATACACACTGGCAAGTAGTTTAACTAACTGTTGTCTCTAGGACAAGTTTCAAAGAAGATGCCAACCTACATTGGTGAAGGGAGTTCCTGTAGCAATGAAATCATTAATGGAGAACCTATCCATTTTCTGAACAAAAATGCCATGTTGAGAATTAATGTTTTAATTATCTGAAAAAAAAATCCTATAGATAGTATATTTTACAGACTAACATCTTAACATTGAGTAATTATTTATTATGGTGATAACCACACCATTTGTATTTTAATGTTTTCAAACTGTGTTTCCCTCTTCTTCCCAGTTCTTTCTGCATCTGTCGAGCATCTTCACTCATATTTGTTAAATATGCATTTATTAAGTACCTAGCGCCGGGGATACAAAAAGAGGCATTAGACTGACCCTGCCCTCAAGGAATTTACAATCTAATGGACCCAAGGGTATACAAGGTGGCAAGCCAGTCAGACTAAAACGTAGCTTTCAATGCTTTTCGGTGGCGAGCTAACGGGTTCACGTGGGACGGCGAACTTAAAATCTCCCGCGCAGGCACATGAGCGAGGCTGCCCAGACCCCTACCCCCGGGCCAGGCCCTGGCTGCACATGCGCTTAAGAGAAACCGAAGCCTTGCCGAGGGAGGTGAGTGGTCCTCCGGTTCTCCTAGAGAGTAACGGGAAGTGTCACGGAGAGAAGTAGGGGGTAGGGTGCGTGTGAGGCGGGGAGCCAAACTTCCTGTCTGGCCTTCTTTGGTTCCTCCGCTGGGTTGCAAGGAGTGCTCCTGGTCCACTGCCCGTGCAGGGGACGCCCCAGGGTCAGTGTCCCTTTTCTCCCTTCCCCGAGGATCGGGGATCCCTCAGGCGGCCGGGGACAGAGCAGCTGTAGGAACTACAGGCAGGCGGCTCGGGGAAGGAAGGCCTGTGCCAGCCGGGTACCGGCTCAGCCCTGGCCCGTCTTCCGCCCGGTGCGGGAGGGGCGGAGCCGGGCGGGCGGGGGCGGGGCCATCCCGCTTCGGGCTCCATCGGTCCTGTTTCCTCCACCTGTTGGCTCTTAGGTGAGTGAGTGTTTGTGACCCCCGGAGGAGGGATCAGGAAGTGTAGCTGCAGCGCCTTCTCTTTCCCCCTCCCCCGGTATAAAATAAGGAAGCTACTTTAAATAAATGTTACCCAGAATGTATATATTACATACAATGAGAGACCAAGCACGCAGAGGAAAAAAACCTTGTCAAAGAATATTAACTGAACTGGTAGGGGATGAGAGAAATTATTATTAATAACCAATGATTTGGGGAGATCCAGAAGGCCCCCCCACCCCATTTTTCTAAAGTCCTGATTTTTTTAAAGTTCTGTCTCATGAAGGACTTTGCTGATAATGAGACTGGACTTTGTTGTTCAGACCCCACCCAGGTGGAGTAGCCCCGGAGTTCCGCTGAGGCTTGGGTGGAGCATAAATTCTTTGAATAGATTGCCTAAGGGTGCATTGAGGGGGTGGGGGACATTTAGAAATGGATGACATAATCAAAGTTCAGGTCCAGCCCTCCACTGTAATGTTCATGTTGTTAGCCAGTTAGAGTTGATTGCCACTCCTTTTCCAAAAGGGCTTGTAAACTTATGAGCCTACCACCATGATGGTCTTTGAGAAAATGGCCAAATGATTATTCTTTTGCCAAAATGCTGGCATTATTGATAAAAAACGATTAAATTACCTTGAAATTATGTCTCTGGAACCTTTTTAAACCTCACAGGAAGCGAAAGGTTATCTTCCTTCCCCCGTCCCTTTTTAGTTTTTTAAAAAAATTTAGGCTTAAATACTGAAACTTAAATACATATTAGAGAAATGAAAAAGAAGCACATTATAAACTTAAATATTTAAACTTAAATATGAAATAAGAAAAAGAAAAGCACGTCATGTGCACAGCAGAAGGTAAGAGATGATTGAAAATACATCGCAATAAATTTCCATTTCAGGAAAGCCTATCTAATACATAAGATGTGTTGAGGGCTTGTCCATCCTTTCTTTGCTTCCTTATAAGTTTTCTTTTGTTCTCTGCTGTGCACTTTTTACTTTGTTTTTTTTTCCCCCTTCCTCCCTCCACTCCCCAGAAGGCTACAATTAAGCATGGATATATTTATATATAGACATATACATACACATATACATGTATACACATACACACATACACACATACATAGACATGTACTTTCCTTGACAAATTCTACTCCGATCTTTGTTTTTATATTTGTGCTTGTCTCTTATTTCCTACACCTCCTGACTCCTCTACTTTATTTCTACCCCCTACCTTGCCCTCCTGTTACTTAACCTACCCCCCCATCCCTCCCTTAATCCCTCATTCCCATTAATCTAAACACCTTTCTATACTCACCTTTCACCAGTTCCCTCACCCTCCCCTCTAGAGATCCCTCCTTTATCCTCTCCCTCCCTTGCCCCAGCTTTTTCTAAAGAGGAGGTCACAGAGGCCCTGGAGATGTTGAATAAATGACTTGCCAAAACCACTTGGAAGTGGCAGAACCAAGAAATTTAAATCTGGCCCCTTTCTCTGCTTCCAAAGCTTATGCTGTACCACACTGTTGCCCTTTCCCTTTGAATTGTTTCATGTAATGATTAGCTAGTCCTTTTTAGTTTTATGCCCAGATGTGATAAATCACCAGTCAGTTCCCAAATCTTGTTTTGATCTTCACAGCATCTCTGGCATAAGTCCCTTTTTCCAATCACACAACCACCACCCTAGTCCTGGTCCTCATCACCTCTTATTTGTATCATTACAGCAGCTTCCTTATGTAAAGCCTCTTTGCCTCAAGTCTTTTCCAATCCATTCTCCTCACAGCTGCCATGATTTACCTAAAACACAGGTTTAACCATATGACCCTACCTACTCAAATTCTATCCAAGAAACAAATATAAATTTTTGGTCATTTAAAACATCATAATTGGGCCTCCTTCCTTTCCAGTCTTTATATACTCTATCTAGCCCAACTATAGTGGTCTTCTTGTTCCTTACACATGAAACACTTGTCTCCAAAGGATATTGGTTTGTTTGTTGTTGTTGTTGTTTTCTAAGGAGAGGCTGGTTTTAATTCTTTCCTTTAGTTTAAAAAAAAAATCAACATATTTATATTTCCTCGCTTGTTTCATTCAGTATTTTCTTCCTTTCTTTCTCCCTTTTGGCTTTTCTTAAATCCTGCCTTTCTCATTTCTCTCTCATATCCTTCCTCTTCCAGTCAATTTAGTTCATTTTAAGAAGCATTTATTAATTACCTAGTACGTTGTCAGGCACTGTCAGGTGCTGTAGCTATGAAGGCAAAAAAAAAAAAGTCCCTGTCTTTAAGCATTTTATTCTACTGGGAGAAACAACAGGTAACCAGAAAAATAAATATAAAACATAGATAGTGGGAGAAAGGTGTGACTGATAACTGGGGAAACAGGAAAGGCCTCTTACAGGGGGTGACAGTTGACTGAATCGGAAGGGAGGTAGGGGTTTAAAGGAGCAGAGATAAATAAGAACAGTTATGAGATAATAACCAGTGCAAAGCAGGAGGTATATGGGAAACAGCAAGTAAAATGTTCGAGTGGCCATAGGCAGCTTGGAGAGATAGACTGACGTTACACTGCTTAAGGTTTGAAATACCAAACAGAGGAGTTTATATTTTAGCCTCAAGCATGAGTTCTTAACCTGGGATCCATGAATTTCTTTTAATAATTTTTTTTTCCTTTATATTTTATTTTCGCATTTAAAAACATCATTCAGAGAAGGGTCCATAGGCCTTACCAGACTGCCAGAAGAGTCTATGACACAAAAAAGGTTAAGAACTGCCGTCCTACAGGCAGTGTGGAGGAAGGAAGGAAACAATCATTTTTTAAAAGCAACTATTATGTGCCAGGCATTTAAGTACTTTCCAAATTTCATCTCATTTGATCATCACAGCAACCCTGGGGAGTTAGGCGATATTATGATCACCATATTACAGCTGAGGAAACAGGCAAACATGATCACACTGCTCGTGAGTGGCTGAGGATCGATTTGAACTGAAGTCCTCTTGACTCCAGGCCTCGTACCACCTATCTGTCCCTGTGGAGCCACTGATACTTCTTGAACAAGGCAATAACACAGTCAGATTACACTTTAGATATAACATTCCACAAAATATGTGTGGATGGTGGATTACAGAAGGGAGAGGCAGGCTGGCTACAGATGACCAATTAGGAGACTATTTCAACAGTCTACACAAGAGGTAATGAGGGGCTGAACTATAGTAGTTAAGTGTAAATAGAGAGGAGCAGATGTGAGAGATGTTAGGGAGGTAAAGTTGATAATAGTTGGCAATTGATTGAATGTAGGCAATAAGTGAGAATAGCGACTAGAATATGGCTTCTTGATTGCAAAACTAGGTGACTGAACTTAGTTTAAAAAACTGAACTTTTTAAGAATGGGTAGATTTGAAAGTGTTTATAGAAAGCAGGGGAAAAGCCAATAGATAAGTAGAATTTGACAATTAGGGAGAAAGAAAGGAAGGGAGACGATCAAGGACATGAATAGAAGAGTTGTCATTGCCAAGGAGAAGGCCATCTTTTGCAGGGTTGAAGCAAAGGAGGAGAAAATCAGAATGTTGTTTAGAAGGTTTGAGGTATAAAAAGGGGGAGAAGAGGATGCTGGATGGCCTTAATTTTTTCAGTAAACACAAAGTACAAAGCAAAGTCTTCTGAGAGGGTGGAGGGAGGGAAGATATGGGAGGCTTGAGGAAAGAAGAGAAGGCTTGGTCTGTAGAAAATGGGATAGGAAGTAAGAGAGACTTAAAGGGATTGCCTGGCCCCAACGAGAGCCCAATTGAGATTAGATTACATAAATTCATAATGGACCTAGTAGGTTAGAATGTAGGATGTCTTTTTGGTGGCAGTCAGCAGTAATTAAATGGAAGTGGAGAAGGCTGTCACGTCTACGATGCCCATCCTTGGTCAGAGTGACAGCTGTAGGTTTACCCCTGATTATCATCATCATCATTATTATTATTAATTAACAATAGCTAACATTTGTATAGTACTTACTGTGTTCCAGGAACTGTGCTAAGTGCTTTAAAGTTATTATCTCATTTGGTCCTCACAACAACCCTGGAAGAGAGGTGCTATTATTATCCCTATTTTACAGATGAGGAGACTGAGGTAACAGTGAAGTGACTTGCCCAGGGTAAGTTTGTAAGTATCTGAGGTTAGATTTGAACTCAGAAGTCTTCCTGACTTCCAGCCCAGCACTCTTTCTGTTCGCCATGTAGCTGCCCTACCCTGGTTACTCGGTTTCAGGGTCCATCTCAGGTGTTTGGGCTGAATCTAGGGCCCAGTTACAGGTTCACTTTTCATCTAGCCTACTGTCCAGTGCACAGCTAAAATCTCTTTAGTCTCTGCTTGGATCCACAACCATGCTCAGGGATCAGAGTGCCCCAGCTTCTGGCTCCCCCTATTCCTGCTCCTTGCCCTCTATATAATCATAGGCCTCAGCTTAGTTCTTGTTCCATAGTCCCTACTTGGGCCTTCCTAGCTGAACCTCTTCCATGGGCCCACAGGCCAACAGGTACCAACCTGTGCTGACCTTCTTGGAAAAATAATCAATCCACTGTATCTTCTCTTTGGATTTCCCAGTCACTGCTCAGGCCAGAGCTCTTCTTCAGTGTTTGTCACAGTAGTTGGACTTTCTCTTATTCCCATCTTTGTCATTCTGTTTCTTCATCTGATCTTCTTTTGAATGGCATGTTCCATAGTCCTCTCACCATTCTAGTCACCCTTTTCTGTGGTAGTTTGATGGCTCAAGAATGGAGTAGGAATGACCAAGGTGTGGTGGCCTTTGGTCTGAGACCCACACCACCACCTTTCTTGTCACTGGAATTGTGGGACACTTGGCTTCTAACCCCAGAAGAGCTTTGATTTCACATATTCACAGGCCCCTGCAAGGAACATGAATTTATGAGTTTCCATTTTAAGATTTCTGCCTCCTCATCAGTGGTCTGGCACTGATAAAATTGGCACCTGGTTTCCTTTCTACTGTTGTGTGATTTGGGGCACTGCCTGTGCTTGGGAACTTGAGAACATTCATACAAATTGCCATGGACCTAAGAGAAATCAGGCCAGCCTAGAAATCAGGGTGTGAGTAGAGAAGAACTTGAATATGACTAGGAAACATTATTAATACTACTATCTTCCTTCAGGTTTCTGGCTTTTAAAGAATTGTAGTAACATTCTTTATTTGCAGAGAGGCTTGAAAGAGATACATAAAGTTGAGTCATCAAATTTTTGATGGGACCAATTTGGACAAAGTTGCGAAGGAAACTTTAGTAGAAATTCACTGCCCTTAAAGAGCAGGTAGCACCTAAGATAATTCTCATGTTCATTTGTTCTCTCTCTCTCTCTCTCTCTCTCTCTCCCTCTCTCCCTCTTTCCCTCTCTCCCTCTCTCCATCTCCCTCCCTCTCCCCCTCTCCCCTTCTCCTACTCTCCCTTTCCCCCTCCGTCCCCCCCTCTCCCCACCTCCCTCTCCCTCTCCCTCTCGCTGATCATCTAACATTTTCATTTTATGGATGTGAAAACTGAAGCTTAGAAGGGATAATAGAGTTTGAGAACTGGAACTTGAACCCAAGTCATAGAATCTCAGAGTTGGAAGGGACCTCAGAAGATACCTAGTTCTAACCATAAGTGAACAAGAATCCCCTCTAAAATATCCCTGACATGGGGGCAGCTAAGTGGTTCAGTGAATAGAGACCCAACTCAGGAGGACCTGAGTTCAAATTTGGTCTAAGATTTGATATTTACTAGCTGTGTGACCTTGGGTAAGTCACTTAATCCTGATTGCCTTGGGGAAAAGAAGGCAGATGAAATTCAGTTTTAAGGGGCAGCTAGGTGGTACAGTGGATAGAGCTCTGGCCTTGGAGTCAGGAGGACCTTAATTCAAATCCGGCCTCAGACACTTGACACTTACTAACTGTGTGACCCTGGCAAGTCACTTAACCCTGATTGCCTCATCAAAAAGCAAAAAAAAAACCCCAAAAAACCCATCCCTGACAAGTGACTAGTCATCCAGCCTTCATTTGAAGACCTCTAGTGAACAAAAACTTCCCAGGGTAGCCCATTTTATTGATTAGGAAGTTTTTGGGTTTTTTTATATCAATCCTAAATCTGCCTCTGCAACTCAAATATATTTTGCCCTCAGGAGCCTACCAGAACAAGTTTAATCTATCTTCTGCATGTTAGCCTTTCACATACTTGAAGATAGTATATCTTCTCCTCCAGACAAAATGGACAGATAGTAAGGAAGCTGAAGGAGTGAGTATAGAAATTTCTTCATAGGTCTTATGACTCTTAAAACCAGTGTGCTTACACCATGCTATCTCTCAAAAGGTGATGGTCAAGATGATGTTATAGGTTTAAAGTCAGGTGAGAAATTCAAAGTTGGGACACATGCAGGGGTGGAAATTAGGTTTAGACCAAGATATAACACTGTACAAAAAGCTCCAAATGGAAATGAACTGCATATAGAAGGTCACATTACAAACAAACTAAAGGAATAAAGAAGAAAATACCTTTTGATTACATAAAATTGAAACATTTTTGCACAAAATCAATATGGTTAAAATTAGAAGAGAAATAGTTAACTGGAAAAAAAAATCTTTGTAGCAGGTTTCTCTGATATAGATCCCAAGAGATCCAAGAGAGATGGGGAACTGATTCAAATTTATAAAAACAAGAACCATTCCCCAATAGTTAATGGTCAAAGGATATGAACAGGCAGTTTTCAAATGAAAAAATTTAAGCCATCAACAGCATAAAAAAAATACTCCAAATCACTAATAAGAGAAATCTCAATTAAAACAATACTGAGATTCTACTTCATAGCTTATCACATTGACAAAGATGATAAAAAACAGTTGAGTAACTTTTAGGGCATAGTTCCAAATTATTTTCTAGAATGGTAGGACTGATTTTACAGCTCTACCAACAATGCTGTAGTGTGTCTGTTTTGCCCTAGTCCCACCAACATTTGTTATTTCTCTCTCTCTTTTTTTTTTAAACCTTTGCTAGTGTACATATCTAAGTTTTCTAGAATTCTGTTTGGGTCCTTAATTTCTTTTGTTTAGATTATCTTATAAGAGGGGATACACTGACATCCCCCTCTGTTAGTTTTATAGTATTTTTCAAGTCTGTTTTTATTGTTACCTTGTCTGAGAAAACTATTGCTCCTCCTTTTTTGAGTTCACCTGAAGCATAATAGATTTTGTTCCAGCTCCTTTTTAAAATGCTGTGTGAATCTTCCTGTTTCAAGTGTCTTGTAAACAACTAAGTGCTAGATTCTGCTTTCTAGTCTATTCTGCTGCTTTCCTGCTTTTTATGGGTGAGTTCATCCCAGTCATATTCACAGATATAATTGTAAATTCTATTCCCCTCTATCCTATCCTGTGCCGGCTGCGCCGTGCACTCTCCTCCTATAAGGAGCAGGCTGCCAGAGTCATACTACTTACCAGTCTTTGGTGCCCACCCGGATAAACACACAGAGACGAGCCGATCAGGAGGTGCCAACACTGGAGCTTTATTCAGAGGCCATCACAGCAAGGCCAAGCAGGAAGGCCAGAGCAAGACAGCAGGAGCAAAAGAGAGAATGAGCTCCTACCACTACCGTTCCTTAAGTACCTACTTAGCCCCTCCTCCTCAGCCCGCCTACTAGTCATTGATTGTAGGATCAGATACCGGAAGGGGATGTCTGGGTTTAGCGCACCAAGGGAGAGGAAGTGACGCAGGAGGCTAGGACCGGGTACAGGAAGGAGGCGTCTGGGGTTAGTGCATAGACAAAGGGAAAGTACGTGACCCAGGAAGTCAGGCCCAGATACCAGGAGGAGGCTTCTGGGGTCAGTGCTACACAAAGGGAAAGTACATGACCCAGGAAGTCAGGAAGGAGACATCTGGGGTTGACGTTGTACTTAGGGAGGGGACTAGACAAAGGGAACTCATTCTCTGCCGTCCCATTCCCACGTGGCACAGCCCCCTGCCTCAGGAGTACATGCTCCGGCTACTTCCTAATACCCAGTTCCTACCCCATCTTGCCACAATCTCCACTTGGCAGTAGCCAACATCAGACAATCCCTCACACTATCCTTTTATATTTTCCCCTGTCTTTGTCTGCTCTTACAAAGAAGAGGTTATTGAGAGTATACCAAATAGTAGTAATCTATACTTTGTGAAATTTCTTCCATTTCACTATTCTTCCTCCCAGTGAAGGAGTCCTCTCATACTAATCCTTTCCTGAATTTACTTTTCCTCTTTGTCCCCCTCTTCCCTCTCCCTGTTCCCACCTGATTTTTTGTTGAGTTAATGTATTCTACACCAAATTTGGTGGGGGTGTGTGTGTGTGTGTGTGTGTGTGTGTGTTCAACCCACTTTTATCTGGTTTATGTAAGAGAGGGGTTCATGTGATTACCATTTCCTCTACTTCTCCTCCATGTTTTTATGCTCTTCCAACCTTGATTATTTGAGATAGTAAATTCTTCTGTCTTCCTTTCTCTTCCTTCCCTACTATATTCCTTTTTCCTTCCCTTATCTTTTTTTCTCTCAAGATCAACAGAATATAATAAAACATCTCATAGGCCCTCTGCCTTATTTACTCTTTGATCCTCGAAAGTATTAGGGCTCATCTAAGACAACTGCCTCTTCTCCCTCTTCAAATATTTCATATTTATATATTTCCTTTCAGTTGCTCAAATGTATGTAACTTTCTATGTTTCTCTTGACTCCTGTGTTTATATTTCAGAGTATCTACTAAGCTTTGGTTTATTTGTGAGGAATACTTGGAAGTTCTGTATTTCATTAAAGATGCTGTTTTTCCTCGGTAAGATTATACTTAGCTTTGTCAAAGAAGCTATTTTTGTTTGTTTGCCTTTATCCTTTGATTTCTATAATACTGTATTCCAAGCTTACCTGTCATTTTTAGGATTAGCTACCAGGTCCTCTCCAGTCTTGACTCTGGCTCCTTGATACTTTAACTCTTCTTGCTGAATGCTTGCAGTATTTTTACTTTAACCTGAAAGTTCTAGATTTTATCCATGACATTCCTGAGGGTATTTGTTTTTGTTTTTGTGAGAAGTAATCAGTATAATGCTAGTTGGCAGTATTTGATTGCAAGAAATCAATAAAATAATTGTGTTTTTAAAAAAAAAAAAGTGACTGGGGCAGCTAGATGGCCCAGTGGATAAAGCTCTGGCCTTGGAGTCAGGAGGACCTGAGTTCAAATCTGGCCTCAGACATTTGACACTAGCTGTGTAACCCTGGGCAAGTCACTTAACCCCGATTGCCTCAACAACAAAAAAAGAGACAACTTTTGGGACAGCTAGTGGCACAGTGGATAGAGTACTGGCCCTGAAGTCAGGAGGACCTGAGTTCAAATTCGGCCTCAGACCAAACACATGACACTTACTAGTTGTGTAACCCTGGGCAAGTCACTTAACCTCAATTGCCTGGAAAAAAAAAATTTAAAAAGTGACTAGTGGATTTTTTAAGATATATTTTCACTTTGCCCTCTGATCTAGTGAGTTGGATAGTTTTCATTCATGATTTCTTGAAATATATCTAGGCTTTTTATGATTGAGGATTTCAGGTAGTTTAAAGATTCTTCTATTACCATTTTTGACCTGTTTTATTGATCATTTGTTTTTGATGCCTTATATTCTCTGATTTTTTTTAGTCTTTCAGTTTTGTTCTAGTACTTTCATGGTCTAGGGGAATCATTGATCACTGTCTAGTATGATCTTATCTTCAAGGAGTCTATTACTTAAGTCATGTTTTACACCTTCTGTACTAGGGGATTTATTATTCAGATATCTTCCTAAAGAATTCTCATTTTCTTTCCAATTTTTTCCTCTAGAGTTCTCATTTCATTTATATGATTTTTTTTTCAACTCTTGCTTCATTTCTTCCAATAGAGTTTGTGAATCCAGTAGTGCTTAATTGTGATATTCTTTGAGGTTTTGCTTTTAGATGATATGGAATTATTTGTCTGGGTTTATGTCTTCAACATCCCAGGCTCTATGAGATGTTGTTGTTAGTGTTTTGTTATATTCACTCATTTTCCCAGCATTACTTCCTGAAATGGCACTTTGTTTTGGGACCAGGATTGGTACATTTCCAGAATGAATAGTGGACAGAGCTGTTTAGGTACAGAGCTGTTTTATCTAGGGTCTGGGTGATAAGCTGTGTTTAAGTACCAAGTTTATTGGTACTTAAGAGTTTATTTCTGCCCTGTATGCTACAGTGGTGTATGCAGGGTGGGCCTTGCAGCAGTAAACTGGAGTGCCCTGCACCCTCCCTCGCAGCATCCAGTACTGGTATGTCTTATGCAGAGTGTAGCCTGATGGTTGCCCTGCTAGTAAGAGTGTCCAATGGCTTCTGAACCCAGAGGACACAGTATCAGATTAATGCTCAACATGAGAGGCTTTAGTGATCTTCATTCCTGGGCAAGCCTTTTCTGAATAGACCCTTTCCTTATGTTTACCATTGTGTTTTTCCTTAGATTTTTTTTTGTTTTTTAATTTTATTTTTAATTTATGGAATAAAACAAGCATTTCCATAGCATAGTATGATAAAAAGATGATTTCTCGTGAAACTGCAGATCCACTATGCACAACTTGCTATTCCTTTCGAATACACAACAAAATTATCATGTAAATTTCTTTTTTTTTCTTCCCTCTACCTCCACCCTAGAGATAGCTACCATTAGCTCCAATTAGGTAGATATATGTAAAATTATTCTATGCATACTTACAGTTCTTTCTCAGAATGCAGATAGCATCTTTCTTCATGTGTCCTTTATAGTTAATTTGGGAATTTATAATATTCAAAATAACTTATTTGCTCAAAGTCATTCTTAAAACAATATTGCTATTACTGTATACAGTGTTCTCTTGGTTCTACTCATTTCACTCTATTATTTCATGCAAGTCTTTCCATGTTTTTCTAAAAAAAAACCAAAAAACAAAACACTGAGCTCATCATTTCTTATAGCACAGTAGTATTCCATCACAGTCATATACTACATCTTGTTCAGTCATTCCCCAGTTGATGGGCATCCCTGCAATTTCCAGATCTTTGCCACCACAAAGAGTTGTTATAAACATTTTAGAATATATGGGTTCTTTTCCTTTTTCCTAAGTGTCATCAGAAATAGACCAAGTAGTGGTATTGCGGGGGGAAGAATATAGGTAGTTGAATAACATTTTGGGCATAATTCCAGATTACTCTCTAAAATGGTTAGATCATTTCATAATTCTACCAATAATGAATTAGTGTCCCAATTTTTCCACATCCCCTTCTATCATTTTAGCCAATCTGATAGGTGTAAAATGATATCTCAAGGTTATTTTAATTTGCATTTCTCCAGTCAATAATGATTTAGAGCATTGTTTTGATCTCTTCATCAGAAAACTGCCTGTTCATGTACACTGACCATTTATCAATTGGGCAATGATTTGTATTCTTATAGATTTGACAAAATTCTTTATATATTTTAGATATGAGACCTTCATCTGATACACTGTCTATAAAAATTTTCCCCCAATTTTCTGCTTTCCTTATGATCTTGGCTATATTTGTTTAATTTGTACAAAAACTTTTTAATTTCATGTAATTGAAATTATCCATTTTACACCCAACTTTGCTCTTTATCTCTTGTTTATTCATAAATTATTCACTTATCCATAAGTCTGATAAGTCATATGTTCCATGTTCTTCTCATTTTCTTGTAAAATCTGTTTATATCTAGGTCATGTATCCATTTTCACTTTATAACTGGTCTATGGCCAGTTATTTTTATTCACTATTTTCCTTCTCAGCCTCTCTTTTTACCCTATCTCTATTACCTTGTCTTCTCCCCTTACTCTCTTGCTCTTTATTTTACCCACCCCTCTAAAAGTCCCTCCCTCATCTATTATTATCTTATCTATTCACCTCACCCTCCTAATATTAATCTCTATACCCTTTTGAAAGTCCCTCCCCTCCCTTATCCCCCAGTTTTCTCACCTCTGTAGAAGTTCAGAACACCTCTAACCCTCTTCAGATGTATATATTGTTTCTTCTTCAACGCACATGAGATTAAGGTTCCAATATTATCTACCTTCCACCCTCACCTGCTTCCTCTATATTAGTTCTTCCTTTCATGCCCCATTTTCATAAAGTAATTTCTCCTTTTAACCTTTTCTTACCCAATTTTGTTTTCTTAATCATTTCTAGATATAGTGCTATCTCTTTAACGTTGCTGGAATTGTCATGAGAAGGCTGGGTTGTTTGGTTTCTGCCCACTCTACCATCTTTAGAAGAGTCTTAGCCCTATATTTTAAAGTAATGAGAGATCTAGTTAGAGAAGTATGGGAGATAGAGAGACATAACAATGCTTGTGGTTCAAGAAGCAAGAATTGTGTTAGAATCAAATTGGAAAGTCAAGAGGCAGGGTAGAAAAGCAAGGATAGAGAGCCAGAGACAGGCTAAGGAGGAAGGTATTACCCAATTCTTTTATTTTTAAATTGATACTCCACTTTATTTTGTATTGTTTTAATAAGCCTTAGTCAATTTATTATGTATTAATGATGAACCCACTATTGGGTTGGCCCTCTCATTATGTGAGTTTGAACTCCCTTAAGCCTATAACTTCAGTTGCCTATTATAAAATTTGAAAATTTATATTCCATAATTCATTGAAAATTGTACTTAATCGGTATATCTAATCAATATTTGTGAGTCAAATTCAGACTTGATTATACAGGCTCTATTAGTAAAATTTGTAAGAATCCAACTTCTCCATACTGATGGGCTATAATCCAACCACAAAATCCTAATCTGTTACTTTGGCTGACCATGAGGAGAGGTAAGTCAATCTGATCATAGGATGTTTGCCCACTATGAGACTTTCCAGGGGATGTGAGTCAATCTGGTGATAAGCTGTGCCTATCATGGGACTCTCCAGAGAATGTGTCACCTAATTCTCAAAACTTTCAAGTGTTGGTGGTCAGTTCTAATGGTGTCAATCTCATTTGAAATAGCACACTTAGTACTTTATCTCAATTCTCTGTCTCATCCTCAGGTTCTAATCCTGTGAGGAAATAGTCTTATTATTTAAAATATAAATTGTATTTCACTATATGTTTAAAGTATTGGCAGTAGTATAAAAATGGTATTCTAGAAAGGAGCAGTAGGTATCAGCATGAGAACATGGGGAAATTGGGCAGAGCTATTAAAATTAGCTCAAAATGGTGTAAATGTTCATTTGGTGCTGTGTTTGTCAGCTGTCTCACCTCTGTCAATGAATGAAGGAACAGAAGGGCCCCACATGGAAACAGGAACTTAATAAAAGGTTTCAATATATAATTTGAAGTTATAAAAGAAAGATTTAATTTGTCCTGAATCCTAAGGTAAAGAATTACAGTAGCAGGGGCCCCAAAATCTTTATGACAGAGTCATTCAGGGCCATATGGAAAGGATTTAGAGAATGCCTGTACACTAGTTAGAAGAGGTGAAAACACCGAACTCATCCTACACAGAGAATCAGTCTTAACCAGTTAGTATAGCTAGGTTACTAGCCTAGGACTGGACTGGAGAGGTAAAAGACAGTTTAAGCCATGATCTAAAGTGGGATTAAAAAAAAAATAAAAAAGACTACCTTTTCAGAAGTCTGCCAGCTAAATCAGTGACTCAGTAATCAATGTCTTTTTGTCTGGGGTATGCCTTTACTAATCTGGCTTAGCGTCAGAATTTACATTCTAATTGCTCTTAATGTTTGGTTTCTGTGATTTTGACCTTGCACTATACCCTTACTCCTCTTAACCTGACAGTTAATCAGAAGGAAGGTCCTAAACCTGTTGTGACAGAATCAACAGTTTATTAGTGGTTTAGAGTTCCCATTTGGTGAAAGGGAGAGGCTTATATAGAGCTGGTCTCATTCTTTACCTTTTTCTGCTTTAGTTCCACCCATTTCCCATGGGCTGGCCATTGCCTGTAAGGGGAGTTCAGGAAACCAAGCTGCAGCTGATATATCCATGCCCATCCAGGTCCAGGTGAGCAGTGTCCTGAGATTTTTATCCTTGCCTTTTTATCCTTATTATTATGTAATTAAAATCCTCATCTGGGAATTTTGCTAAACAGCTACATCTATCTCCTCCAATCTGCTGCATCCCCAGGTTCTCTTTCTGCAGAAACTAAAATCATCTTTTTAGATGATGGGCTCCTTACAAATTATTCCTAAGTTTATAGCCTTTCCCTCTGTTTCTGTCCTCCTAAAACAAACACTGATGTTGTCCTTTGCAAATCCTTCCTCTCAGCACCTCTACCCTTAGATAGAATGTAGTGTTGGTATAGGAGGCGGCTAGGTGGCACGTTGGTTAGAGCACCAGCACTGGAGTCAGGAGGAACTGAGTTGAAATTTGACCTTAGACACTTAGTAGCTGTGTGACCCTGGGCAAGTCACCTAACCTTGGTTGCCTCAGTTGTTCATCTGTAAAATGACCTGGAGAAGGAAATGGCAATTTGCCAGGAAAGCCCTAAGTAGGGTCTCGGAGAGTTGGGCACAACTGAAACGACTCAACACAAATGTTAACATACTCAAGAATGTGTCATTTCAGGAGTTGGTGATATTTGAAGATGTGTCTATTTACTTCACCTTAAAGGAATGGAAACTTCTTATTCCCACTCAGAGGGTTCTCTATAGGAATGTGATGCTGGAGAATTATGGAAATGTGGTCTCAGTTGGTAAGGACTCAGGCCTTTTCAATTTTCCACTTATCCCTACAAGTTTCTTTATTGCATTAATGGCTCTGGGATTTCTAAAACAGCCACTTGAGAATGGCTCAGCTAGTCATAGTCCTCATCCTCTACACTGTCAGGGAATTTGTTTTGTTTTTCAGTGATTTCCTCAATTCTGTGGGACTTGTGTCTATGAAATTAGGTGGCTTCATATATCATTACTGCCCCATTCTTCCACCTCCCTATCAAGAAACTTGACCCTGCTACCTTGGGCCTGAGACTCTATTCTAATTATCTCTTCTGGTCATTTAACACACTTTCTCATGCTTTTTCTTTCCCAACAAGCAGGATTTCCATTTTCCAAACCTGCTCTGATCTCTCACCTAGAGCAAGAAGAAGAACCCCTTGTTCAGTATCTCCAGGAAACTGAGAGGAAAGATGCCCAGAAAGGTCTTTGCTCAGGTAAGCAATAGAGAACCTGGTACTCCTTGCATTATTGTCTTTCCTTTCTCTTTTTACCTTTGAAAATTGGTCATATGAGGACACATATTGATGAGGACACTTCTGTTCTAATTCTATGTCCAAGTAATTGATTTGAATGCTTAAAAAAAAAAAAAAAGGAAGGGAGGAAACCGTCCCTGCACTCAAGGAACTTACATTCTACTCAGGTGCCTTTGTGCACATGTTATCCCACATGCCTGGGATTCAGTCCCTTTTTACCTTTGCTTCTTAGATCCTTAGCTTCCTATAAGGCTCAATTCAGTTGCCATCTCCTACAAGAAGTCTTTCCTTATCTACCTATTAGTATTCTCTCCATCCTCATGACATCTTGCACGTATCTATCTGTATGGATTTGGTATTCCCTTGGTAGAACATAATCTTCTTCAGGGCAGGGGCTGTTTTTCATTTTGTATGTATACCCAGTGCCTAGCAATTAGTAGGTGCTTGGTAAATACTTGTTGAGTTATGTTGGATTGAAGCTCCCAGGAATTAGGACTTTATAGAAATCCCAAATATTGAGAAAGAGAATCTAAAAACAAGGATATCCATCCTCTTATACCAGTGATCCATAAGAACATGAGTTCTTTATACATGACAAACATGGCCTAAAATCTCTTCTTTCCCTTCTTCCTTGCTGTCTAGTCTTTGTGGAATAATTGCAGCTTCATAGTACGTGTAAATGAACATCTTTGTTTCTTCTCAGACCTTGAATGTTTTTCTTAGCTCAGAGTTAGAAAAGTGGTTTCCCCTAATTCCACATAACCTTAGGTATTGTTTCCCCACTCACATTCCCATTCCAAATGTCAGTGATGTGGCTAAAATTTCCAAAATGACATCATCCCCAATGCTCATGTTATGCTGTTCACACCAAGTATTGAGCACATCATTCCTGCAGAATATTTTTCTAGGTTCTACAAGTAATATAAGTAAAATATTGCATCTTCGATGTAATCATGCATGCTAAGATGTAGGAACAAAACTAAATTCGTGAAATTTAGGGAGAAAAGTTTCAAAGCATATATGGAATAATATAGAATGATATAGACAGAGTAGAAGGATATCCTTTGCTAGAAGGATACAGAATAAAAGAATGATTAGAGTTGTACTCGCTAAAATAGGGATGCCTTCCTGAAAAAAGGGAATTTTGAGCAGGATTTTAAATGTTGAAGAAAATACAGTAGCAGAGGTCTGTTATGGTAGGATACCTGGCATAAGGCCCAGATTTGAATAATTCCCTGAGCTGTATCTCCTTCCTTCCTTCCTAATGTAGCCCCAATTATAGTCACTTAGCATAGGTTGAAGGAACGTAACTCATCTTACTATGTCAATTTGACAAGGACTCCTCACAACAACCCTCTGAGTAGATAGTACAAATATTATTTCTATTTTTAGATGAGAAAACTGAGTTACAGTGAAGTTGTGACTTGCCTGTGGCCACCTACCTAGATAAGTAATACTGGGATTCAAACCGAGTTACTGAATTCTGCAGTGAGAAAGTGTGAGGTGGTTAGACAGGGAATAAAGAGAAAATGTGAAGTCCATCTTCAGGTACTCTGTCATGGTAGACTATCATATAATTTAAGTTTGGTTACCACCTTTTTCTTTTTTTTTGTTCACATTACTTTAGTCATTGTGTATCTTCTCTTCATTTTGTTTTTCTTTGCTCTACATCAATTAATAGAAATATTCCTGTGTTTCTCTGTATTGATTGATCATCTATCATTTTTTGTTTGTTTTTGTTTTTTGGCTAGGCAATGGGGTTAAGCGACTTGCCCAGGGTCACACAGCTAGTAAGTGTTATTGTGGGAGGCCAGATTTGAACTCAGGTCCTCCTGAATCCAGGGCCGGTGCTCTATCCACTGCACCACCTAGCTGCCCCATTCATCTATCATTTTTATGGCACAGTAATATTCTAATATATTCATCTACCACAGTTGGTTCATCCATTCAGTAATCAAGGGTGCCTACTTTGTTTTTTTTAAACTATCTATTTTTATTGATGCTATATGTATTATTATTATTATTTGTATTGCTTATTTTCTTTTTTACAATTTGTTTTAATTTAAATTTTTTTATTCCACACTTAACAAATAGCAAGTAAAATGAGCATTTCCACCTACAAAGCCAAACATAAAAATAGGGTTGTGCATGAAACTGTAGCTCTCATATACATCTATATATACACACACACACACACACACACACACACACACATATATATAGCTTGCTTTTCCTTGTAAGTATAGAAATTTCATTAAAAAGAAAAAACATATTTGAAATAATTCATCGTATAACTTTCAAAGCTGTCCTAGTTATCTCTATTTCTTTCTGGCCTGCCTTTTTTTTTCTTTTGCTTAAATTACACTTCTTTCTTTTCTTTTTTTTTTATATCCCTATTGATATCTCACTTCTCCCACCCAACTTCATTTCTACACTTTCCCCCAATTACATCCATCTAGGCAGCTTAGTGAATAAACCTGGAGTCAAGAAGACCTGAGTTTAAATCCAACCTCAGATACTTCCTAGCTTTGTGACCCTGCGCAAATCATTTAAAGTCTATCTGCCTCACTTTCCTCTACTGTAAAGTGGCGATAATAATGGCATTTACCTCCCAAGGTTATTTTGAGGATAAAATGAGATAATATTTATAAAGCACTTTGCAAACCTTAAAGTGCTATATAAAGGCTAACTATTATTATCATATCCCTCCCATTTTCTCTTCATAGTGGACCATCTTTTAAAAGATTTAAAAAGAAAGAGAGGAAAAAGCAATTCAGCAAAATTAATTAATCCATGGGTAAAATAGCAGCATGGTAAAGTGGAAAGAGGTTTGAATTTGGAGTCAGGATCTGTGTTCAAATGCTGACTTTGCCACTTACTGTTCATGTGACCTTGGCCACATCACTTGACTTCTCAGGACTTCAGTTTCCTTCTCTGCTAGATAAGAGGGTTGTACTAGATGACACTTAACTCTAGTCCTCAATTTCTATCCAGCGCTAAATCTTTGTTACTTATTATTACCATGTTAGACACTGCATACAGTATTCCACACCTATTATCTGCCACCTCTCCAGGGAAATGAGGGAGATGAATTTTCTCAATTTTTCTATACAGCCAAGCTTGTTCTTTACACAGCATTCTATTTGGGGGTTTTCTTTTGTTTTGTTTTTATTTAAATTATTGTGGTAATTGTGTACCTTGTTCTATATCGTATATTGTGCCTGGTTTTAATTTCCCTCAGCTTCTGTGACTTTTTCCTATTTGTTGTTTCTTGTGGTACAGCATATTCCATCACATGAATGTAGCATAATTTGTCCTTCCTTTAATGCACACCTTCTTTGTTCTAGTTCTTTGCTACCACAAAAGTGCTACTCATGTTTTGATATTTATGAATGTCTTTGGACTCCTTAGAGTCTATGTCTAGGAGTGGAATTTCTGAGTCAAAGGGCATGGAAATTTTAGTCATTTTCTGCATAATTCTAGAACTGTTTTTCAGAATGATTTAATCATTTCACAGCTTCAACAAATGTGTGCTTGCCTTGCTGCAGCAGTGGGTACCCACTTTTGTTTCCAGCTTTTTGCTAACCTGAAAATGTGCTACTACAAATGTTTTCATAAATATGGGACTTTTCTATCTTTTACTTCCTTGGGGTATATTCTCAATAATTTTTCTTTGCTCTTTCCTGGGTAACCATATCAGAATCCTGACTGATCTTCCTGACTTTTGATTTTCATGCCTTGTTTTAATATTAAAACATTATGCAGATGTGACATTGTCATTCATTCCTGACCAGGTAACTCATTTGTGCTTTCTTGTGCCTTCCCAAACAACTTCCTTTTTTTCTAGCATAGTGAACAGTTGACATCATATTTTTAATCTCTTTTAGGATCAAATGTTAAGATGAGGATTGAAGATGAGGAATTAACTATAGAACAAAGAAGTTTTGGAAATGCAGAATGTCAAAGACTCCAGGATAATGTTTCCCACGTTTCTCTGTTTAGAGAACCTAGTGAATGGAATAGTAAAATACAGAGTCCATGGGGTAAATCCAAGGCAGAGAGCCTGAGAGAGAAAAGATGCTTCAGTGCAGTGACTGCCAAAACCAAGAAAACCCTGAGGATAAAAATAGGGAAAATAGGGAAAAATAAAGAATTTGGGATAAGTTTCCATCTGAGCTCTAAACAACTTTCATATTATAAAGGTGCTAGTGGACTAAGAAAATTCAGAAATGAAAAATATGACCACAGCTCCAGTTCACCACTTCTACTACATCAGAAAACACATACTGAAGAGATACCTTATGAATGTAAGGAGTGTGGAAAATCCTTAAGGTACAACTCGGGCCTTAGGAAACATAAGAGAATTCACAGGAGGCTTAAATTCTATGAATATGATGAATAGAGGAAAGTCTATAATATGAACTCAACTCTTCAGAAGCATGAAAGGATCCACACTGAGGAGAAACCCTGTAAGTGTGATAAATGTGGAAAGGACTTAAGTGACAAGTATTACCTTTTTGAACATCAAAGAATCCACACTGGAGAAAAGATTTGCAAATGTAAGGAGTGTGGAAAATCCTTCAGTCACAGCTCTATACTTATGCAACATAAAAGAATTCACACTGGGGAAAAGCCTTATGGATGTGACCATTGTGGAAAAGCCTTCAGAGTGAGCTCAGCACTCATAGAACATAAAAGAGTTCATACTGGAGAGAAACCATTTAGGTGTGACCAGTGTGGGAAAGCCGTCAGTGGGCGGTCAGATCTTAGACAGCATCAAAGAATCCATACTGGGAAGAAACCCTATGAATGTAAAGAGTGTGGGACAGCCTTCAGCCATAGTTCTGGCCTTAGACAACACAAAATAATTCATAGTGGGGAGAAGCCATATAAATGTAATGAGTGTGGCAAAGCCTTTACTCAGAGCTCGCACCTCACAGGACGTGAAAGAATACACGTTGGCGAAAAGCCCTATGAATGTGGTCAGTGTGGGAAAGCTTTCCGTCATAGTTCGCACCTTACTGTGCATAAAAGAATCCACATGGGGGAGAAACCTTATCAATGTAGTGACTGTGGGAAAACTTTTAGAGTGAATGGAGACCTGACTGTGCATAAAAAAAGAAAACATATGGGGAAGAAATCTCATGAACTTGGTGAATGTGGAAACTTATATAATTAGAGTTTACGTTTCCTCTCTATCATTTCATACCAAAGTGAAAACTGATATAAACAAGTCTCCTATATTAGTCAAAGAGTCCACAGAATCTGCAGTAGGCAGATTCAGGGATGGGAAACTTATCAGGATATACATACATTTAGTAGAGAGGAGAGGCCTTCCTTAATATAGGCATTAGATTGTTATAACTTTAGGAGAGTTCTAAAATGAAACTTAAAAGTTTTAGGAGGTAGAAGTCTGTTTGTAAAAAAGACCGGTAAGAAAAGATGGGTAAGGGTATTGTGTTTCATGAGTTTGATTATATATGTACTATTAATTATTTACTAGATATATAAATGTTATGATATAAAAAGTGTTGATCTTTGTTCTAAGCACTCTGCCTTGAGAATGGCAAATGGTTGCATTGAGTTAAGAAGAAGGGTATCTAATAAAGCAAGTTTCAAATACAAAAAGGACATGACTTTGAATTGGTACATTAGGTGGAGAACTGTTATCAGTGCCAGGCTTTGTCCGAGTGCACTTGTAGTTAAAATCAACCAAACTAGGCACCACAGTATATTCGAAAGGGCATTAAATTCAGAAGACCTTGGATGAAGTCCTTATTTTGTGTAACTGGAAAAATGGGTTAAAGGGCATGGCTATTTTAGTCCTTTTAGCATAATTCCATAATTAATTTTCAGAATGACTGAATTGCTTCACAGCTTCAACAGTTGTATATTACTCTGCTTGTCTTTCTGCAACAATAAACACCCACTTTTTTCCAGTTTTTTGCTACCCCCAACATGTGCTGCAACAAATGTTTTCACATATATGGGACCTTTCTGTCTTTAACTTCCACAAGGATAGAATGTGAGACTTTTTCAAATACTTTGCTAAAATCTAGGTACACTAGATCTGTGACATTCCCCTATCAGGTTAATAAACCTTTCAAAAAAGGAAATGAAGTTAGTCTGGTGTCATTACTTTATTTTAAAATTCTAAAATGTATTTTTTGATACAAATAATGTTAATTGATAGTTGTTACGTCATTTATTTCCCAATTATCCTTCTTCTTAGAGAAAACAGTAACTTAGAAACAATATGACATGTTTTGTACTCAGCACCCTATGTCCCCCACCTCTACAAAGAAACTAAGAGGGGTTCTTTTTTCATATTTATTCATCACAGTCACCATTTCTTGTAATATTCACATACTACACGATTAATGAGTACTTTGTTTCCAGTTCTTTGTTGCTACAAAAAGTGCTGCTCTAAACATGGTGGTGGAGCTTATCTTTTTATCATAAGCCTCCTATGGCATGACCTGTTGTTGATGAATCCCTGTTAGTCTCAGTGGTCACTGCTTCCTTTTTTTAGGTATTAATAACTGACATTACATAGAGCTTCAAGGTTTGTAATGAACTTTTACATACAGTATCCTCTTTGGGACCCACTGCCCAGTGAGGTAGATAATGCAAATAGTATGATTCTCACCTTACATATTAGGAAACAGGTTAGGTAACTTGCCTTGCCCAATGTCACTGAGCTAATAAGCACCAGAAGCATTCTAATAACACTTCAATTTTGGCAGAAATTAAAGTCAAGTTAAGCAGTCTAGTTTTCAGACTCCATTCTCTGCCCCTCCCCCTCCACTTAAAAAAAGATCTAGATGTTTGCCCTTTTGCCAACCTGTGCTATTTCTTCAGTCTTCTACACTTTTTCTAAATCGCTAACAGATTCAGTATTTCATATCTGTCAGTTCTCTTGTTCTCCTACTTTGTGACTTGAATTCATCAAGGGCAACTAGGTGTTCCCATCCTTATTTAATCTTGGGTATCAACTCCTTATTGGTAATATTTGTCCTTTCTGGTCCAAAAACCATTGGTGGAGAATGTTAAGCAAGGTAAGAGATAAGCAGCTCTGCCTTCTGTCATCACTGTTCATCTGTTTGTTCTTTCTACTCTCTGAGCTTTGGTTTTCTCTCCTCTAAAATGAAGACACATAATAATAGCATTTGTATAATGCTTTAAGGTTTTCAGAGTGCTTTACATGTTATTTTAATCTTCACAACAACTGTGTAAGGTAGATTCTGTTATTTTTCCCATTTTACAGATTAAGGAAACTGGAAACTGAGAGGTTGAGTGATGTACCCTGGGTCACACTGCTAGTAAATGTCTGAAGCAAGATTCAAACTCAGGTCTTCTTCACTCCAGGTCCAGTGCTCTATTGGGCCACATAGCTGCCTCTAATAGCTGATAATACTTTTTGCCACCTATCAGCAGCATCGTGAGGAAGGTGTAAGTAAACCTTAAAGCGCTTAGAGCAAATTGGAAATGTTTTTAATTTCATCCTCATATTGCTTCAAGAGAACAAGTAGGATGTGGTAGAGTCTCTGAGTCAGGAGTCTTGATTTCAAATTATTTCTGATATTAGCTATGTGGGTGCTCCTAGACAAATCACATAAAATTCTGCGTCTCATTTTCTGAGACTTCAGTCTATAAAGTGAGAAGAATAATACTGGCACTATGTACCTTAGGTTTGATGTTGTGGAAATGTTTTACAAAACCTTCAAGCCCTATATAAAATATGACTCACAGTACCTTAGTGTGCTATATCTAGAATGATATTGGGAGGATGTGACTATTTGAGCATACAGTTCACTTGGAGTGAGGAAATTGCTGAATTAAGGAACATTAGAAATAATGTGCTCCTCTTCATTCACAGTTTCATATACAAACATCATTAATTCTTTTTATTTTTTTTTTTGTTAATTGTTAAGTTCATAATGAAAAATACATTTTTATTTTTGAAAAACGTCTTTTCTGGCAGAACACTACTTGTATCCCTCCCAGATGTGAATTGGTTACTAAATTTAGTGCTGAACTAGTCTGACCCCTTTATTTTACAGATGAAGAATCTAAAGCACAGATTGGTCAGGTGGTTTACCAAGGGCTACACTGGTAGTGAGTAGCAGAGCCTGGGTTTCTGAATCTAAATCCCATACTCTCAATTGCACCATATTTTGTATGGCTAACTATTAAAGTTTTTATGTGGGAAGGCCTTGATTGGTATCAAATTTGTTTTGAGTTCAGAGAGGAACCTTTACTTTTTGGGGGTAAAGAGAAAGTATGGCCAACCCCTATAAGGGAGAGGGTGAAGAAGAACATCAATTCTTATATTTCAAATCTCAAAAAATGAATGATGGATTACTGAGATTACTGTGTTTCAGAGTGAGGAAAAATATGGTGCCACATAGAACAGTTTAAAATTCCTATTTTTTTAGTTTAAAAATACTAAATATGTACTATGGGCAATCATAGATTTATCATTGGAAGGGATTTTTTATTCTATTTGCACCTAGACTTATAAAAGTCTTAAAAAAAAAAGTTTTGGGTGTTAATCTGTAAGTATTTCATGGAAGAAATAAAATCTGAAGGATAGCAAGTTTTCAGAATAATTCCAAGGGAAGTAGAAAAGAATAATGATAAATTGGAGATTATAAGAGGAGAGTAAGCAGTTCAGCAAAGAACTTTTGATATCAAACCATATGAGGATCAGTGGAAGAATCTAGGGATGTTTACCCAGGAGAAGACTGAGGTAGAAATAGCAGATGTCTTTTAAGCATTTAAAGGGCTAATATGTAGAAGAATGATAAGTATTTTTTATAACTGGTACCAGAGGGCAGAGCATAGGTGGAAGTGGCAGAGGCAGAAGTAGTCTTAATGAAGGAAAGTAGGAGCAGCATGCAGGGGAAATAATAATGAATTTGGAATCAGGGAATCTAAATTCAAATTTTGGCTTTGCCACCTAACACTGTGTGACCTTGAGCAAGTAGATCTGAGTTTCCTTTTCTGTAAAATGAAGGGTTAGGGGATGGAGCCAAGATAGGGTAGGAAAGGCAGGGACTTAACTGAGCTCTCCCAAATTTCCCTGCAAACAACTTTAAAATACACCTCAAAATGAATTCTGGAGCAACAGGAACAACAAAAGGACAGAGTGAAACAATTTTCCAGCCCAAAACAATTTAGATGGTCAGCAGGAAAGGTCTATCTTACTGGGGTGAAAATAGAGCTCAGTCCAGCACAGGCTGCACCCAAGTAAGCCAGCAGCAGGCCTTGGGAATATCGGAATCAGCAGTGGTAGCTTCTGGAGCTCTTAGCCCACAAACAAGAAGGAGGCTGGACAACTGGTCAAAAGAAGATTACAGGGGACCCTTTGCTGGCACTGGGAGCAGGACTCTTACATCATCCATACACTGTTCTGGGTCACAGTCCTGTGGTGAGGAGAAGTACTAGCACACTAGAGCATGCAGCCACAGGGAAGTGGAGACCCTGGTCACAGTTTCAGAGTGGGAAAGAGTACTTGTGGTCACTCCTAGACCAGAACACAGGCCAGGAGAGCAATGACCACACTTCTCCTTAGATCATACCACCATGGAAGAACTGAAAACTTACAGACCCCAAGAACCAAATGTAGAAAAAGCAGCACAAAAACCCTGAAGTTTGACACAGTGCCCTCCTCCACCTCAGGAGCAGAGCCCAATTTTAACATAAAGTTAAAAGTCAAGCAATAAACTGGGGGGGAAAAAGAGCAAAAAACAAAACACAAACCTAACCATAGAAAGTTACTATGGTGACAAGGAAGATCAAAACACACACTCAGAAGAAGACAAAAAAGTCAAAACCATTACACCCAAAGCCTCAAAGAAAAATGTGAATTGTTCTCAGGCCCTAAAAGAATTCCTGGAGGAGCTCAAAAAGGAGTTTAAAAATCAAATAACAGGGGTAGAGGAAAAATTAGGAAAAGAAATGAGAGTGATGCAAGAAAATCATGAAAAAAGAATCAACAGCTTGGTAAAGAAGGCACAAAAAAAAATATTGAAGAAAATAACACCTCAAAAAAAGTCAGAGTTTGCCCAGTGAAAAAAGATATGCAAAAATTCACTGAAAAGAACTACTTAAAAAAAAAAACAAAAAAAACTGACCAAATGGAAAAGGAGGTACAAAAGCTCAATGAAGAAAATAATTCCTTAAAAATTAGAATTGGGCAAGTGGAAGCTAATTACTCCACGAAACATCAAGAAACAGTAAAACAAAATCAAAAGAATGAAAAAAATAGAAGAAAATGTGAAATATCTCATTGGAAAAACAAATGACCTGGAAAGTAGATCAAGGAGAGAGAATTTAAGAAGTATTGGACTACCTGAAAACCAAGAGTGTAAACATCATATTTCAAGAAATTATCAAGGAAAACTGCCTTGATATCCTAGAACTAGAGAGTAAAATAGAAATTTAAAGATCCACCAATCACCTCCAGAAAGAAATGCCAAGATGAAAATGCCCAGGAATCTTATAGCCAAATTCCAGCGCTTCTAGGTCAAGGAGAAAATACTGCAAGCATCCAGAAAGAAACAACTCAAATATTGTGAAACCATAGTCAGGATTAAACAAGATTTAACAGCTTCTATATTAAAGGATCAGAGGACTTGGAATCTGATATTCCAGATGGCAAAGAAGTTAGGATTACAACCAAGAATCACTTACTCAGCAAAACTGAGTATAATCCTTCAGGTGAAAAAATAAATATTTAATAAAGTAGAAGACTTTCAAGCATTTCTAATTAAAAGATCTGAGCTGAATAAAAAAACTGAATAAAAAAAATCTTCAAATTCAAGACTCAAGAGAAATACAAAAAGGTAAAGAAATAAGAAAAGAAAACATAAGAGATTCAATAAGAATAAACTGTTTATGTTCCTACATGGCAAGATGATATTTGTAACTCTTAAGAACTTTATCAGTAGAAGGGCAATTAGAAGGAGTATACATGGACAGATGGTGATGGTGTGAGATGATTATGATGCGATGATATCTAAAAAAATAAAATTAAGGGGTGAGAAAGAGGGATGCACTGGGAAAAGGAGGAAAGGAAAGGTAGAATGGGGTAAATTATCTCACATAAAAG